TTTACTTTTTTTGTTTATTTTTATTTTATTTATTTAATAATTTGTACAGATGATTATCCAGACATTCCATTTTATGATGTAGTTGAGGATCCTGAAGGAAAAGAGATTGCGGGAGGATTATTTAATGAACCTGATATAGATATAGATTTTGAGGTTTTTTCTAAAGAGATGCTACCTAATTTTCAATTTCATAAAAAAATGAAAATGTCCGAGGACAATGCCGTAAAAGGCAGGAAGCTTTTGAAAACGCGCACATTGAGCAAACTTGGTGGCATTGCGTATGAAAGCAATGCACGAAGAAATCTTGGAGGGGGTAAAACATACCAAAAAAATGAATTTCGTAGCATACATAACAATCGAAAAGCGAATACCAGCCGTCCACCCTCAGTGCACGTAGATGATTTTATGTCTGGAAAAATTCCAGCGAACCAGCAACATCCAGACATGATGACTCCAACATCTGCAGCTACAACATCTGTTACTAATACAACAAATACATTACAACAAAAGAAAATAAATGTTTCCAAACGTGGAGGAATCACAACAGGAGTTCCTAGTACCCCAGTAACTACAAGTACCCGTGGTGGACGCGGTAGACGACCTAGCACGAGCTCAGCATCTACCTCACGCGGCGCTTCCCGTGTTGCAAGTAGCGGTCGAGGTGGAAGCGGCGTTGGAAGAGGGGCCTCAAATACTGGTATGGTTAGTACGTGGGATATTGGCAATTCGGCAACTTGGACTGGGGGTCCTCCGTCCCTTCCGATATTGATGGGTCCGTCGATATCAAAGTATATTGAATTCGAACGACGGATGGATGGCCAACGTGATTATACCCGTTACGACAACCAAACCATGCGCACGGGTTATTACGATAGTCAATATTATGGCATTCCATCGCCGATGACGCCTTACGACCGTCCACCTGTACCACAATCCGCACCAGGAATAGGTCCTAGAATCAAAGGGGGGGGCGAAAATAGAGGACGAACGATTCCACAAGAATGGCCTCCACGATCTGTTACCTCTCAACCAGCACGACGACCTGAGCGTCCGTTTGGTAGAAGATAGGATGGTAAAGTTAGTTAGCTTGGGTTTAGATTCTAAAATCTTTAGGTTTCAAATTAAGCCTGAGAACCAGGTTTTTATATAATAAGTTTCAAACCCAAGTTAAACCTGGTATGGTTCAGAACCAAATTTTAAATCCTTTATTTTGTAAGAC